CCTCCCTGGAAAGCCTTAAGAAACGGGAAATGTTTACAAAATAAGTAGTGACAGAGGCTTTCTGCCTGGGCTGGGCCGCCAGTGCCAAGCCTTGTGCTGCGGAGGGAGAACCCTCTGATGTGCCCGTAGAAATCTCACCCTCCTGCCACACTGCAGCCTTTCCTGGTCATAACTCATCCTTCCGTCTCGTTTTACTCTCTGACGTCCGGTCTGCTGGCCTGGATGCCCGACGGAGGCCCAGGCAGTTTGGTGCCCCGCCGTCCTGAATATCCCTAGTGTCTGTACAAGGACTGGCACTTAGCAATCCTGGGACAGGTACTTGGTCCTGTGTGAGTGGCTTGTCTTTCCAACTGGATTTCAAACTGGGACTCAGGGATCCTATCTCCTAATTCTTTTGTTATTTCCAACAAAGATAAACACAGCATCTTTTAATCATTCATTCTAAACTATTCAGTGAGCCCCTACTAAGTGCCAGCCACTATGCTCAGCCTTCTAGAGCATATGTTCTAGAGCAGGGGTCCTCAAACTACGGCCCGAGGGCCACATGCGCCCGCTGAAAACATTTATCCGGCCCGCCGGGTGTTTTTGCCGCCGCTGCCTGTCCTGCTTAGCAGCCGACTCGTCCCGGGTCCGCAGTGCGCATGTGTGGAATGTCTGAGAGACAGTGAACTGGCCCCCTGTTTTAAAAGTTTGAGGACCTCTGTTTTAGAGGGAGAGGCACGCTAATGCATTACATTAATCACACGTAACATTTCATCTCACTGAGAAAAGCCCGAAGGATGCGAGCTTGTCGACCGGCGGCTGCGCACAGCGTGGAGGTTCTATGGCCACTTGTGGAGTGAGTTAAGTTTGACCTGTGTGACCTGGAGGTGTGCTGGGGCCATGGCGGTCTCCACAGTCAAGCTGTGGACTGAAGATGAACTGATTATTTGTGGATGTATTTTTGGGCCCCAAGTCTCTTCCTTTAGAACAGAGGTGCGTACGGGAGAAACGCAGCGATCGCAGTCCTTCCTTTCTTGTCCCTGTAGATCAGCCGTGGGCAAACTACGGCCCGCGGGCCGGATCCGGCCTGTTTGAAATGAATAAAACTAAAAAAAAAAGACCGTACCCTTTTATGTAATGATGTTTACTTTGAATTTATATTAGTTCACACAAACACTCCATCCATGCTTTTGTTCCGGCCCTCCGGTCCAGTTTAAGAACCCATTGTGGCCCTCGAGTCAAAAAGTTTGCCCACCCCTGCTGTAGATGGTCTTTCCTTGGGTATCCTGTGCCTGCCACTTTGTCCGAGAGTGAGGTTTCTTGTGTTTTCCCACTTGCAAGCTCTGTCACTTTGCAGACAAAGGTTCTATTGACAACCGGGCAAATGCTGGCTGGCTGAGCCGCCCCTCCTGACTGGCCCATGGGCCCTGCTCGGTGGCCAGACTCGGAGACTCTGATAGTCAGAGAAGGCGGCTCCACCTCCAGGAGGCACCCAACCGAGAAATTACCTACTTTCAGGCTTCCAAAATGTCAACTCCAATAAAGATCTCATTTTCTATTATTAAGGAATTACAGAAAGCAAGAACAGCTGACAGGCTCTTGATTTGTGGCTCCTTCTAGGGACAGGAAACCTTCCAAAGCCACGGGTAGGAGTGGAGGCTGGCCAGGCAGCAGGGGCCCTCTGCTGGTGACCATGGATGGCACTGGTCACCCACAACTGGGGCGTCTGCAGCCCTCATGCTGCACCCAGGCCCGGTCAACATGCAGATTGTCCGGGGGGGGGGGGGGGGCAGAAGTCGGGCGCCAGGACGTGCCCACATCGAGGGAAGGAAGAAGATGGAAACGAGTTCACAGCTGCAGGCTCTTCCCTCAGCTGTGAGGCATCACTATTTTAAGGGTCAGGTTGACAATAGAAACCTCTAAATGTTAAAATAGACATAAAATATTGTACTCTGGTACTTGAGATTCCAGATTAGCTGACTGTTTTCGTCACTTGGCATGTTTCAAGTGCCCTTTCTAGGATGGAATAATGCCCAGTGCCGTAAATACTGTATCTTCTCCCTTTACTTACCTGCAGCATGCCTAAGCATTTGTGAGGTTTGTTTTGTGTAGAAACGGCCTGGACAGGCGCACCTTGTGTGTGTATATGTCTTTTCAAGTGAAGTCAGCTTTGGCTTCATGTGCTCCAAGCCGCTCAGGAGAGCACCACACCCCCAGCCCAGGATCGTGCAGCTGAGCCACAATCCAGCTAAAGCTGTTAGGGCGCTAACGAAGTGACGCCGTGGAGGAGGGTGTGATGGAGGCTAACACCCTCTCTATTCCAGTTGGTGCATGCTGCGGGCCAGATGGTCGGGTATTGACTTTCCTGTTTCTCGGAGATGTCTTGGGGTAACTGCAATCAGGAGCCAGGCTTTGTTCTGAGACAGAGAACAGAGCAGCTCGCAAATTGGTCTTTAAAAGAAGGCGTGGAAGTGCCATCTATGCAGAGGCTGACTGTGCCCCAGGTGGCTGCTGCCTGCACCTGCAGCGCTTCTCTAAGACATAAGGGTGAAGAGTCAGTCCTGTTAGATCAGTGGTTCTCAACCTTCTGGCCCTTTAAATACAGTTCCTCATGTTGTGACCCCCAACCATAAAATTATTTTCGTTGCTACTTCATAACTGTAATGTTGCTACTGTTATGAATCCTAATGTAAATATCTGATATGCAGGATGGTCTTAGGCGACCCCTGTGAAAGGGTCGTTTGACCGCCACAGGGCTCTCGACCCACAGGTTGAGAACTGCTGTGTTAGATGCTCTGTTGGCTGTGAAAAGCTTTTGTCTCTGAGGATCCCGAATGGGGGTGGTCGGGAACTTCTTGATCAACAACTGAATGTAATAAAAATGCATCCAGGCTCAGTGGGTACCATATCCACAGGGAGGGAGCGGGCCTCCCCTCACACCCCTGGAACAAGCTGTCATCCTACCTCTGCTTCCTCTCTCAGAGCTGCTGCCCTTTGGGGGCCCCTGTCTCCCCCAGCCTAGGATGGGTGAGTCCTGGCCCTTAAGACCTCAGCCTGAGGCCCCCAGGCACCTGAGGGGTCGACCACCACCCTGCATTTTGCCCTCTTGTAGGTAGTTTATTTCCTCCCCATGTCACACATGGTAACTACATGTGCGCTCCACACACGAGCTTCCGTCCTCTCACGGCTCCACTCTCAGTCCTGGAAACGTGCCCGAAATGTGAGAGCTCAACAAATATGTGTGTAATGGCAAGTTAATGGATGAATAAAGCCTAGTTTAGGGATGAATGAAGGGATGAGTGGATTTTTTATAATGATGAGTTAATGAAGGGAGAAAGATAACCAACGACCAAGTCAGTAATCTGGGAGAGAAATGCAGACGTATCCCAGAAAGTAGAGTGAAAAGAGAAAGATTTTAAAAATATTAGATAAAGCTCATTGAAGTCATGGGCCGAGCCATGAGGCCCCACCTTCCCTAACAGGAGTTCCAGAAGAAAAGTGGTGCAGAAATGAAGAAATATACAGAAAACTCCATGGCCAGGACAGGGTGGCACTAATTCTGAGGACCGCAATGCCATGGAGTGGAGGAGCAAACCCCTCTCCCAGAAAGGAGTGTTCTGGTAGATGGAGAACCTGAAGCCTCCCCAGGAGGGACAGCAGCTCAGTGCCGCTGACGTGGGAAGGAATGAGGAGAAGGGCACTCAGATGGCTGAGAGGAACTGATCATGCGTCTGTATGTAGCCAACCTGACATACAGACGGAGGATTAGGACTTTGGCTTCCGGCCACACTGGAATAGTGGGAACCGAGTCCTCTCTCCCACCACAAACATCTGAAGAGCTGAGTGCCTTAGGAGTGGACCAGCTCAGGACTCGGGCAACTGACAGCTTAGCTGTGACTCCCTAATAAGGGAAGCAGACGAGATGAGCCATGGCACCCAGCTTTTGTCCTGGAGGTGTGCTGTGACATGGGGGGAAGGTGTCCCAGGCAGAGCTCGGAGGTGGGCGAGGCCACTGTGGGCGTGTTTGGGAGAGGGAGGACTTCCCGGTGCTCCACCAGCCAGTGTGATCAAAGGTGAAGAGCCAGGGTTGGGCAGAGCAAGGGGGCTGTGGGCTGAGGGCTCCCTTTGTGGGGCTGAGACTTATTTGAGTCCCCAGCCCAGTGGAGAGCCATCGGGACACCCCGCACGGGCCCCAGGAGGCCATACCTGTGAAGTGGGGCCAAACCAACAGCAGTTGCAGGCCCCTCCGGACAAAGCTTCAACCAAACATTGCCACGATCGGCCCGAAGCAAGAGACTCTTAACCACCGATCAGCACGAGGCCCAGCGGCTGTGTCCTTTACAGACGACAGCAGAATCAGGGCAGCAGCAGCACCCACGTCCACTCAACACTGGCCTGCCACTTGGGGAGGAGCAGCCCACAGAACAGGCTGGGGCATGAAGATGAGATGGGATTAGTGACAGGACGCTCAGGGAGCGAGTCTGACTCACTCCCTGACATGAGCCAGGACAGCTGGCCCCGGGCCTGCAGGCGTGAGTGTAGCTTGAGACTGGGGCATCCTCCACTGTCATGAGGCGCGTGTGGCATGGAGGTTAGGCACAGGCGGTAGCTGTAAGCCCGCGCCTCAACTCCCCCACTTCTAACATGGACTTCACAACAGTCGGCTCCGTAAGGTTATGGAGAGGCCAGTGCATGCGTCGTGGACAGCTCTGGAATAGCACCGGCTCCTAGGAGAGTAGGCAGTGACGTGCTCATGAAAATTCACTGGAAACGCTCTCTCCGTGCAGAGGCTCCTCTACCCTGAAAGCAGCGCACACTCTCTCCCACCCCAGATGTTTTCTGGTTGCTAATCAGTGGATGGAAGCTTCCAGCTGTGGACAGCCACTCCCACACCATGGCTCAGGGCCCTTGGCCTTGAGCTGTGAGACAGCTGCTCTTGGACCCAGGGAGGCCGTGAGCTGCAGCCTGCGGGCCTTTCATCTCCCGCTCCTGACCACCCCTCCCGCTTCTCTCCACAGCATCCTCGAGTGCCAAGGCCTCCCCATCGTGAATGGGCAGTGCGACCCTTACGCCACTGTGACACTTGCAGGACCATACAGGCAAGTAGCTGCCACCCGCACCTGCCCGGCCCCTGGGCCTGCAGGGTGGGGCACAGGCACCTGAAGGATGGGGAGCATTCCTCAGTCAGAGGAAGGGAGGATGCGCTGCAGGTAGAATGTGTAATCTTGACTTCCTTTTGTTTCCTTTATTGGCCTCACATGGTTTTGTGAAAAAAAGGAAGACTTGATGTTTTTCATGCTGAGTATTTTTGGCTCAGTAAAGGTCCCTGATTTGCATACCATCTGGGGTTGGAGACAAACAGAAATATTTATAAGATAAATAGAGGCAGCAAATTACTTGTGCATTTGGTAGCTCAGTCTCAAGGCTGAGAGATTTGGCATCGCAAGTGTTATTTCTGATCCTGATCCTTCCTCCCTTGATTACAGATCAGAAGCCAAGAAGACGAAAGTGAAAAAGAAGACCAACAACCCTCAGTTTGACGAGGTGTTTTACTTTGAGGTCGGTGTCTCAGTGATTTCAATGTTGAGTTGAAACCTTGCCCCCGAGATCCTTTGGCAAAAAGTCTCGATCTGAAGGCTCTCAGCCAGTTGCTTCCTTTGAAAGTTCTCTGGGTGACGTCCCCCTACCAGAGATTCCCCCACTCTGCAGCCCCTGCTCCCTAGAAAGAAAGGCCACCCCTGCTTCCAGAATGACTCAGCTTCGAGTTGCGTTCTTACCAATTCATTCTTTCCAAATTATCAGGACTTTGGGTTTTCTTAATTGTTTTGTTTTTGTGGGTGTTTTTTTTTTGGCGGGGTTTTTTTTTGTTGTTGGTGGTGGTTTTTTTTTTTTTTTTTGGCCTTTTCCACCCAATCTTTCCTGAGCAGTGAAGGGAGGCTTGTTTCACCAGAAATAGTGAGGGTTTTGAAGCAAAGAGGAAGTGTTTTTGGACACAGAGATCCCCCAGCTGCCTCTCCGAATGTGAACCACCAAGATTAGTAAGCTGCAGGGTGTGAGGGCTGAAGACCGGACCGGAACCACAGTGCACACGGCTGGTGTAGTGATAAGACGGCCCATACGGAATGTACTGAGGTGGGCGTTCTTTCCGTCCTCAAAGGTTTCTTGATGCTTACTCTCCACCAGGTCATGGTAGGTGAGAATGACTGAGGCCCTCGCTCCCGTCCTCCTCACGATCCTGCAGCCCAGCAGGAGGGATCATCCCACCTGCTGCAGTGACGGTTCAGTTAGTGGCTCCGGGAGACAGAAAGCAGTTGCAGCCAGCAGTGCTGCCGGGGGCGTGGGGCGAGGCTCCCAGAGTGGGGACAGTCTGGGAGGGGGCATGCACAGGTGTGGAGGTCAGGAGGGTGCAGGAAACTGTACCTGGAATGCAGAGTGAGGTCGGGTGAAAAACGAGGAATTTTGGAAAATGAAGTTGGAGAGATGAGTTAGAACCAAGCACTCATGGGCAGAGGACCTGGGCCTTCTCCGCTGGCCTCTGGAAGCTCACACGTTTCCTCCATGGAAGTCAGTGGCCGGCCTTGGGGTAGCCCTGGGGAGGGCGATGGAGCCGGGAACCTGAGGGCGTAGTGAAGGGCCCCTCTCTGTCCAAGATGGACATTCTGGCTTTATAGTTGGGTGAGGAAATGGTTCTTAACAGACTGAAGATAAGCCAGGAAGCCCATGCGGCCACCCTCACCTCCAGGGACTCATGCTGTGTCTCCAAAGGCAGGGATGACACCTGGAACAGAAGCTGCAGAAAAGTCTTTAACATGAATGTGCATTAAAGGTGGCAGCACCTTCCATGTCTGGAGGCTCAGACAGGCGCTTTCCCAGCTTTTGATTTTACCACAACACGCAGTAAGGCACAGACTTCACACCGTGACGCACTTCCCGCCAACAGCTGCATCCACTCCTGTGTGGTTCCCACTCACATGAGGAGCGCTGCGTACTTGCTATGGTGGATTCGGCGAAAATTGTGGGTCTCAACCCACTAGATGAGTTTAACGGCCCCAGATGATTGAATGTAGCAGTAGGGCCGAAGCCTCAGGCTCCCAGAGAAGCCTAGACCCGGGCTCTCGGTGCTGCTGGTTAGGGCCTCGCTCGTGGCCTCCGCCCGGAGGACCTTTGGAAGATGCTTGTGTGTGGAGTTGATGTCCTTTGACTCAGAGGCTCAGCCCTGCTTAGCCGCATGCTCCCTCTTATCAGGTTCTCCTCACCTCCTTTCAGCCTCGGCTGGCAAGCAGCCCGAGGCCCAGCCCTGCCAGGGGTCCCTGCATCGGGCGGGAGCGAGGGGCTGGCAGGCAGCCTCCTGCAGGAGTTTCAACAGGAGGTAGTCTCCAGCCCAGCTTATTCCAGGATAAAAGCCAGACTTACCTAAAAACCCTTAAATATCTAAGTGAAATGATTTAAAATTCTGTAAGAGTCACCTTCATTCACTCGATAGATATGTTAGGTGACAGGCAGGAGTAAGGCAGGGAGGAAGCAGGCCAGCCTCTGCGCCATCTCACTGGAAGCCAGACACCTCATCATAGTATTGGGGTCATGCCAGGCAGGGGGCGCAGGGGGCTTCCTGGAGGAGGTGGCACTTCAGAGACAACTGCCGCTTCCCAGTGTGGAGCAGAGTGAGGAATGGCCTCAGGAGTGAGCTGGGCAGGGGGCACAGGTTGTAGAAAGATCCCCTGTACTGGGTGAGGAAGACAAGTGGGGACCCTGGGGGCCTTCAGAAGTTTTAGCCAAAGGAGATTAGGTCAGGGCCAGCTGGGCTGTGCCTGGTGGGAGCTGGGCTTGGGCAGTACAAGGACAGGCTGCCAACAAGGTGGAGGCAGCAGGTGGGAAAGCTGAGGAGGAGCAGATTGGAGGCATGAGGGAGTGGATGTCAGGAAGGGGAGGTGGTCAGCAGGAGGAGTGGATGTCAGGAGCGGGAGGTGGTCAGCAGGAGGAGTGGATGTCAGGAGGGGGAGGGGGTCAGCAGGAGGAGTGGATGTCAGGAGGGGGAGGTGGTCAGCAGGAGGAGTGGATGTCTGGAGGAGGGAGGGAACTGGCAGGATGCTCCTGGGTGCTGGGAGGGTACATGGAAGTTAGTGTGACGTGCCCTGTGTAGCCCCACACCCTCACTCGCAGGAATTGGGCCCCAGTCCAGCCTCTGCTCATTCACGGTGAGTGGGGCGCACAGCCTCCACCCCTGAGCTGGTTGGTCCAGGGCAGGCGCTCCGTCTAACTCGCTCTCCCTCCCTCTGCACCACCAGGTGACCAGACCCTGCAGCTACAGCCGAAAGTCCCACTTCGACTTTGAGGAGGAGGATGTGGACAAACTTGAAATCCGGTGAGCAAGAATCAGGGTTTCGAGATTCCTGGTTGGAGGCTGTAGTCTGAACTCACCTCTTCTGTCCGCTTTTGTTTTGTTTCGCTTTGTTTTTTGGTTAATCCTCACCTGAGGACATTTTTTCCATTGCTTTTTCAGAGAGAGTGGAAAGGAGGGAGGGGGAGAGAGACAGAGGAGAGAGAGAGAAAAATATCGATGTGAGAGAGACATATCGATTGGTTGCCTCCTGCACACACCCTGATCGGGGCTGGGGGCTGGAGATGGAACCTGCAGCCCAGGTATGTGCCCTTGACTGGGAATCAAACCTGAGACTCTTCAGTGTGCAGGCCAATGCTCTAACCACTGAGCAAAAACATAGGGGAATGGATAGGGGGGTTTTAACGTTCTTGGTGATTTCAACACGAGGATGTTGGAAATTGGAATCAGTCATAATCACCCAGGTGTTCGGGTGGCTGTGGCTGAAAGGACACTTACTTTCCCAAGGGGCAAACTTGGCTTTACAGTCCGGCTGCTTTGGGACTCTCCTGACACAGCCTTGGGTGTGCAGAGTCTGTACTTGTCACCCTGGAACAGGGGTGGGGAAGGCCCTGCCCGCGGGCGGTGTAAGGCCTGAGAACTCATTTGATCTGCATTAGGGATGAGTTAATTAAATGTTTGGCCACATACAGCAGGCTAAGTTGTTGTTTTTTTTAAATATATTTTATTGATTTTTTACAGAGAGGAAGGGAGAGAGATAGAGAGTTAGAAACATCGATGAGAGAGAAACATCGATCAGCTGCCTCCTGCACATCTCCCACTGGGAATGTGCCCGCAACCAAGATACATGCCCTTGACCGGAATCGAACCTGGGACCTTTCAGTCCGCAGGCCGACGCTCTATCCACTGAGCCAAACCGGTTTTGGCAGCAGGCTAATTTTTAAGTTGATAATTTTGTATGGCCTGTGAATGATGTTATAAATATCCAAGGGGCCCTTGGCAGAAAAAAGGTTCCCCACCCCTGCCCTGGAAGATCCCAGCATGAATTCATTGGCATCAGTTTTAGGATCCCCTCAGGGGCCTACTTCGCCTGCTCTGCCTGTAGGAAGCCCCGTCCACCTGCAGCGCCTGCCCCAGGGGTAAGGTGCCTGGGAAAGAGCATCCTAAGCCAGCTGTGCGTTCTGTCGTCCTGGGCCCAGGTGCCCACCCCTGGGTCTGAGTAGCCGGTTCAGGAGAAGTGTAGGAATGCCCTGATTTGACACGATTTAAAATCTCCTTTCCTTTAGGCCAGGGTTTTCCGAGGCGTTCATATGTGGGGTACTCTGGTATCCCTCCCTCGAACCTGCAGCGGCTGTCTGGGCCTCTGAGCAATAACCAAGCTGTGGGGGGCTCCAGGCCTGGTAGGGGCTGACCTTTGGGGTACAGGGTACAGGCCAGGGCTCTTCTCTCCCAAGTGCGGGGGACCCTGGTGCTTTGCTCGGCCCTCTCCTGGGCTCAAGTCCTGAGGGGTTGTGGCTTCCACACACAGATCTTGGTTTGAGCCCAGCTTTAAGTGTTTCCAGGCAGTTTAAATCTTCCATTTCAAAATACTGAAGCTGAAGTGAAGTGACCCCAAGTCGAGAAGGTCCCCACTGGAGGTCCGCAGGCCTTATTTGAGGTTTGACTACACACTGCCTGCCTTCAGACCGACGGCCCCGCTTCCTTGTTCAGAGAAAGAAGTGTTTATGAAAGACTCGGCTTTGAATTCAAGCGTGAAGTCCTAGTTCTTTTTCTAAGCATACAAACCAAAGATGCTTTTAAATGCTTCTCTTATTAAAAAGAAAAGGCTGCCCGGCGACCTGTTCGTATTTTGCTGAAGTGTTGCTCTGCAGGTTGAAGAGTCTTTTGCTTGTAATTCTAAGTGTCTGCACGGGTCAGTGTTCATGTCTGTGTCCCGACATGCGTGTTCCTGCGGGACATCCTTCGCCTGCTGTGATGTCCACGGCCCCTGCTCGGACTTGCAGGGGCAACAGAAGGGCTGCTATAGTCTTCTAGAATTTTCCCCGGTCTTAAATTGTAGCTCATGGATATCCTCTGATTAAGCTGTTTGCTGTGGGGGTATGTTATGCTCACTAGTTAGCACTGGGGAGCGTCGTCCACCTCCCCAAATCGGAGGGAACAGAATTCTCTCTGGAGGAAAAGGCTCACGGGTGACAGACTCTTTAGCAGGGGGGTGTGGACGTTTCTCAGAGATGGCACATTGTGCTGAGCTTGCAGCCGGCAGTGATGGGCCCTCGGTGTGGACGTTTCTCAGAGATGGCACATTGTGCTGAGCTTGCAGCTGGCGGTGACAGGCCCTCGGGCATGAGTCACACCGGTAGGTCGGAGGGATCTTGGGTGCGGGGCTCTGAGTGCAGGTAGGGAAGGAGGAGTCAGACACGGTTTTTCTTCCAGGTGTACTTTCACGTGCTGGAAGGTAGGGGGCATCCTGGCTGTTAGGTTGGGCAGCCTGGCCAGTCCCCCGTGGGTACCATTCTCTGCATTAGCCTGAGCAGAGCTAGATTTCATTTATTCCCTCCACTGTGCTGAGCCCGAAGACTGAGGCCACCTGCTGGTTGCTCCTGCCGTGTCTGAGACACAGCCCAGCCCTGAGGGCAGGTCCTGCCACACTGGGACCTCTCCCAGGTAAAGGCAGGGGACGCTCCTGGCTGCAGGGCACAGCACTTCCCTCCTGTTACAAAGACAGGGGGCAGCTCACCGACCTGCCTGAGGCTTGGCCTCTACCTCCTCTGGGTCCTGGCAGCCCGGGAAATGCACATCTCCACGCCAAAGCCTGGTCCTGTCTGACCTCACGTCTTAAATGCCCTCAGTCGGTGTAGATCTCCACAGAGGCTGACTTGGTGGAACCGAAGTCTCCGCCGTGCTCAACCCTCCTGCGGGGAGAAAGGACGCAGGCGACAGCCTCTGCCTCCCCCGGCCATTCTCCGGAGCATCCACATGCCCACCATTGTTTTTCAGGGTTGACCTCTGGAACGCCAGTAACTTGAAATTTGGGGACGAGTTTCTGGGAGAACTAAGGATTCCGCTGAAAGTGCTGCGGCAGTCCAGCTCCTACGAAGCGTGGTAAGGTGGCGCGTGCCTGCCTGTCCCGGGCTGCGTCCCGAGCTGCGGGCGGAGGGACAGAGTTAACAAGTCAGAGGGGCACAAAGCTGCGTCTTTACACTTACAGCCCAAACGAAATGCACACGTCAGCTTCCTCTCTGGCCACCTGCTCTCATTCTGCCAAGTCCTAACTAGCCTAGCGCTGCGCAGGTTCAGGTGGGACACTGCAGGTGATCACGCTGACACAAGTGGTGGCTGAGAGCCTAACACGGGGTGGGGCGTGAAAGCCTTACGGCCGTGAGAATAGCCTTTTGGGCCTGCTCACTGCGGGCAGGCGCCTGGCACGCTGGGAGCGCCATCGGCGAGGCTCTGCCCTGTGGCAGCAGTCACAGCCTCTGCCTGTTGTCAGAAGGATCACAGGGCGAGGAAGGTGTGCGAGGTGCTGCGGGTTCAGGTGACTCTCCATTGCAGTCTGCGCATCTAAAGTGAGGGTCCCAGCTCGGCCTCAGACCTCACTCGCGTCACCTAGAAGACTGAGGTTTCACTTCCCGTCTCTTTAGTTCTCCTTTCTCTAGGCTACTTTGTATTTTGGCATAAGGAGCGTGCCTTTGTTTCATTCCATGATTGGTTCATAAATCACATCCTATCACAGTGCACATCATCACGGTGAAGCCGCAGACACGGTGGCTCCGTTTCACACATCTCCTTGAACAGACACACAAGGTGGGGAGGAGGTGCGGGCCACACAGCACACGTCACGTCATATGCCACACATCTCACACCACTAGCCACACGTCACACGACATGCCGCACACTGCACCATCGCCCTGCACGTCTAGACTCACCACGTGGGTGGATTTTTGTGTTGTGCCCAGTGGCAGTTTCTTATCATCAGGAGACTGTGGAGTTCCCCAACTGCCTGCCCCTGCCAGCCATCTTGTGGTGGCCATCTTGTGATGACATGAGGGTGGCCATCTTGTGGTGACATCGCGTGAGGGCATTGCTCCACCTAGGCTTTTGTTATATACTAGTGACCCGTCGTGCGAAATCATGTGAGACCCAGGACTTCTCCTCCCCACCCCCGCGCCATGGGACCGCCGCGAGTCCTGGAGTCCTACCCCGCGTGGCCAGTGCATTGCAGGTTGGCCCCAAGTCCTGGAGTGCCGCCCCGATGCCCTGCCTCCAGGCTGTGTGTAGCAGCTGCTGGGCCCGGACCCTGCCCCCGCTGCCCGTAGGCAGGGCCACAGAAACCGCGGCAGAAGCTGTGCTAAGTGGCTGCCAGTACCCCTGCACCCTCACAGGGCCACAGGAACCCCGCCAGCTCCGCCCCTGCTGCCCTGCGCCCCCCCGTGTGTGCCGCCATCTTGTGATAGCATTACAGCGTGAGGGTCAATTTGCATAGTACCTCTTTATTATATAGGATATTTATTGATTTCAGAGAAGGGAGAGGGAGAGATAGAAACATCAGTGATGAGAATCATTGATCGGCTGCCTCCTGCATGGCCCCTACTGGGGATCGAGCCTGCAACCCGAGCATGTGCCTGACTGGGAATCAAACCATGACCTCCTGGTTCATAGGTCGGTGCTCAACCACTGAGCCACACTGGCTAGGAGTTCCTGTCTTTAGTTCCATGAGGACAGCACCAGCACAGCCCCAGCTGGGCTCTGGTTCCTGCCAGGAGGCAATGCTCAGCTGAGCATCCCCAGCCTTGTAACCAAGGATGTGGCACTCGCCTGGCGCCCAGCGGGAGCTCTACCCACATCACATCTCTCACTGCCGGGCCAGGAAACTCAGAGCAGGCAGGGTTCCCGCAGCTCCGCACTGGGTGGGACCCAGGAGAGGCAGAGCCTGTGGGAAGCACCGCTGAAGCAGTGGTGTGCGCAGTGGTCTGCCCCGCCCGCCAGCACGAGCTCCCCACTCCCACCCCCCTCATGTTGGAAGCTCTGCCACACGCTTCTTAGAATCCTTTCAGTTTTGCTCTGCTTGTTGCTAGCCACTGTCATGTTCATCTTCACAGATAATTATTTTACTGCAGAATTTCCCTTAACCACTACACTCCCTCCCCCTCCTCATCCTCTCCTTTCTTCCCACCCTTCCCCCTTTCCCATCGTGATCTCTGTCCGTGGCTCTGTGTCATCAGCCCTGATAGGAAACATCCCTAGGGGGATGCCCCGGGTGCAGGGACCCTGCAGGGGGTGTCCTACAGAATCCCCCTGAGCCCCTCCTGCCTCAGACCCTGACACAGAGCCCGCCCTTGACGGGGGACAGCCCTGGGAGGTGCTGCGGCCTCACGCCACCTGTCCTGTGTCCTGCGCCCAGGTACTTCCTGCAGCCCCGAGACAATGGCAGTAAGAGCCTGAAGCCTGGGGACCTGGGGTCCCTGCGGTTGAACGTGGTTTACACAGAAGACCACGTCTTCTCCTCCGACTACTACAGCCCACTGCGGGACCTGCTGCTGAAGTCTGCGGACGTGGAGGTACTCCTGTGCTGGTGCACCTGTAACCTCAGCCCCCCCCTT